AGGGTTGGGGGGGGGGGAGAAAGGATCGAAGGGGCCGCTGGTTTTGAGTCAATGGGTCCCAATATTTTTTTTTCTTCTCTTTTTAACTTTTCCTTAAAAAATAATATTTTATTCATATTTTAATCAATTTAAATTTTAAAAAATAAATAATGTGGGACCCACAGTGCCACGTAGGCAATTAACGGAGAGATTTGACAGAAACACTAACGGCGGAGCTACATTGTAACAAATTTAAAAGATCGGGGTATGCGATTGTTAAAATTGAAAAGACATGGACTAACATGTCTTAAGGGTGTAAGTACAGGGTACTAAATTGTAATTAACCCTATATATATATACACAACGATCTCTACTATTCGTTCATTCTCAATCAAAGTAGTTTGTGCTTGCATGTTATATGTGTAAAGAGAGTTAAATTTGCATTCAATTTGTTAGTCTTGCTCTAGACAACCGGAATACTATAATTGTCAAGCTCAATGAATATATTTATCTTGTATGTAGTGTTTCATATATAAAATAATTTTATAATTAAAAATTTAAATGAAGATAGTTTAAAATTTAAAAAAATACATACATATACATATAATAGTATGATACTCCCTACAGTTGCCACATATGTAGTACATTTGGATATAGCAAGCACCCATATGCATTTTTGTTATATTCAAGCAAGTACATTTGCCAAAAATATATAGTCTTAAAGTTACATACTACTATGTTTAGCATATTTCGGGAAACTCTCGGGTAGTAAAGTGAAATTAACCATTTAATTTAATATGCACAAAATTCAAAATTCCAACAAGATAGTTTTATCTTACACCAGCCATTGGATCATATTCTCTTATCTCAATCTTATTCATCGGACTATTATCAATGATTTGCACAAAATCTAAAAATAAGATAAGATAAGATTTCGGGGGTGTATCCAATTCTAACTTTTAAAGATTTTTTGTAAGTGAGTGACTTTGAAGGAGTTGACAAATTCTTAATGACTTTTACATCCTTTATAAAGTTAAGTGACATATTTTTATCTACTTTTGCAAATATTTATTTTATGAATAGTATTTATACTTTTGAAAAATCTTCTCTCACTAACCAAGGTGGTTGGTGTGGGTGGTTCGGCACTCTCATTCCTTAAGAGAGGTCAGGGGTTCGATCTCTGCTCTTGTACGGAGTCACCACTTTGGCTAGCACTTTACCCCTTACGGGCCGACCCGGTGTGAGCGGGGATTAGTCTGGATTGTGGCTAAGGCTTAAAGGTGCCACCCATAATTGGGGCCCATCCAGGACCACCTCGTGGTTCAGACCAAAAAAAAAAGAAAAAAAATCTTCTCTCACTTCTCTCTCAACCCATTCACATCTCTCTCTCTCTCTCTGCCCATTCCCATTCTCTCTGTGGCCTGAATGTACCCTCAGCATCAATGTACATTGCTTTTCCCTCACCACCTCCTTGATCTAATGGGAGCTGAAACATCAAAATGAATTAGAAGTGCGCACTATAGTGAATCGAAATTATAGATTGTAGTTGGGTGGTTTCTGTACCAGCACAACATGTTAGAGAAAAGAAAGTCACTTACTTTACTTGGCAAGTGACACAAAGCGTGTGACACAGCTGGGTCTTTCCAGAAAGGAACTCACCATATATATATCTCAGTAATAAATCCAGTATCGATTCCTTCTGTCAGAAGAAAACCGCGCGGAAACTTTGATACCACAGAAATATCAACTGAAGTTTAAAGTATTACATTCCTATTGATAAAACAAGGACTGAATTCTAAGAACTGGCAAGTTCTTGAAATTGGAGACAGGTCTTGGTTAAAAAAAGAACACTGGAAACTGACCCTCCAATATCTTATCAAGTTGTGGTGAGAAATTGGAGGGAGGGCGGGGTATGTGAGGGCAGGCTGGGCTTGGGTTTACAGTGGCTGTCTGCGGATGAAAGCTGCACCCTCGCAACGGCGAAAGCTGCAGCATGATCGAATCACTGATAAAGTCTTGGGTAAATTAGCAAGAGTTTTAATGTTAAGAATTAGCCTTAAAAATATTGAAAAGTCATTCATTTAACAAAGTTTTCAAAAGTCATTAACTCTTTTGGATATACAAAACTTTTTAAACAGTTTTTAAAGTCACAATTGAATACCACTAAACTATTAAAAACTATTTTAAAGTCATAATTTACCTCCAAACTTTACACCCATTCATCTTGCACCAGCCGTTAAATCAAATTCTCACTTCTTAGTTTCGTCCGTCAGATTGTTATCTATGGTATCATCATTCAATACGCTTTTCAGACAGACAGAATAAAAAAATTGTTCTTAATTAAGCAAATGAAAATTGTGCGTGCATATGGAACAGAAGTTTATTCATTGACAGATACTCAGTTCAAAATATTAAAAATCGTACAACTAGGGCATATGGGAATATCTTCTTACAGAATAGTAAACAATATTTTCCCAAAAATCCAGCCAACCTGTGTTTATGACGCGGCCCACCATTAGACCTACGTTATCATTTTCCCCAAAATCCAGCCAATCTTTGCTTATCCATGGCACGCCATTAGTCCCACCACGTTTGTACTACAACCTCACCCACTCACTCAATTTCTTCTTCCACTACTTATTATCCTCTGCCTCTCTGTTGCTTTCTTTTTCTGGCTTTGCTTTCTGCAACCCTTGTGACCTAAGACTTCCTTTTATAGCAAAAAAGTTAAGCCATGGAAGAAATTATACCCTCATCTTCTCCACCCCAACTTTGTCAAGAAAACTCAGTCTCATTCCAACAACGTCTCCAGTTCATAGTTCTGAACAGGCCTGAATGGTGGGTGTATTCGATTTTCTGGCAAGCCTCCAAAGACAGCAATGACCAGGTTGCCTTGTCATGGGCTGGCGGCCATTTCAAAAGCCCTAGGGACTTGGCATCCAAAAGAAGCAACAAAATGGTCAATAATAAACATTTTTTTGAGAGGAAGAAGGTGATTAACAACAGAGAAGCTGAATCTCTTTTGAATGAAGAAATGGACTTGGACATGAGGCTGGTTGATCATGGAGTCGGAGATGTTACTGATTCTGAGTGGTTTTACTTTTACAGCATTTCTTTAACCCAGTCATTTGTTGCAGGCCATGCGACAAATAATATTCTGGGCCGTTCGTTTTGCTCTGGTGGTTTTGTTTGGCTTGCAGGTGACCATGAGCTTCAGTTTTATGAGTGTGAGAGAGTGAAAAAGGCCAGAATGCATGGAATTCAATCTCTGGTTTGTATTGCAACTCCTTGTGGGGTTCTTGAGCTGGCTTCTCCGGATGTGATCAAAGAAGATTTGGGTCTTGTGCATCTTTCAAAATCACTATTTCTAGCAGACAACAACGTTTCAAAGCCGGACAGCCGTGACGGCTATGCACTTGTTCCTCTCCTGGAAAGTGGGATGTTTTCGGGAGGTCAAGAAGATTTGACCAAACAAGGTAAGCTTGGAATTTGATTGGTAGTTATTATCAAACATTGACCAAAACTGCTGACAACGTCATATTTTATTTTAGGACATATGGTTCAAAGATTTCAAACAATTTCTGTAGACATTTGATATGTTATTGTAACACTATCTTTTATAAATTTTGACAAGAAGGTGATACAAAAGAAGCTGCACCTATCAATATAGGCGGGTCTTCATCAAACTCTGTCGACAATTTCACTTCTGATAACACAGAGAGTACCCGATTGAAAAAGAGAGGAGGATCATCATCAAACCATGCACCACGATTACTAAACCGTGTCGAGGCGGAGAGACAGAGGCGGGAGAAGCTTAACCATCGATTTTATGTCCTCCGCTCTGTCGTTCCGAATGTGTCGCAGATGGACAGATCTTCTTTGCTTGCTGATGCTGTGGCATACATCAATCAGCTCAAAGCAAAGATTGAAGAATTGGAGGCCAAAATCCAATCACAACCCCAAAATCCCAAAAGGGGAAATGGGACCAATGCTGATCATCATCACTATAGCCAAAGGGCAAGCTCCATTGTTGATTTTCATCATTCAAACAATAACAATACTAATAGAGCAGCTGCTGCTCTGGAAGTGGATGTGAAGATTTTAGGCTCAGAAGCCGTGATACGAGTTCAGTGTCCAGATCAAGACTACCCGTATGCTAAATTGATGAATGCACTCAAATCCCTTCGGCTACAAGTTTATCATGCAAGCATTTCAAATGTGAAAGACTTGATTATTCAAAAAGTTGTGGTAAGAGTGCCTTATGGGTTCACTAGTGATGAGGCCATGAGAATGGGTATTATAAAAAGATGGTACAATTAGTTTCCCTATAAGGTAATGATGTGGACAGCGATTTTGCTCGTTCGATCTTCTTCTTGTGTACTTGTTGTTGTAACTCAAAATCCGTGAAAGCTAATATTTGAGGGTACACTTCTTTTCTAATGAGTAGAAAATGGTAGGTTGATTCTTTTTTTTAGTAACATAATAGTACATATATTCTTTTTGCCAGAAAAGTAAAAAGAAAAACTTAGTACACTGTGACTTATGCCAATTCAATCAAGTCGCGTTCCTGCGTCACATACCAGAAATATTACAAGCATTGGCAATCTTAATCTGTTCAATCTTCGTCAATTTGGTCGTTTGCAAGCTTCCTGAAGAGAAGAAGTAGGGCGAATCTCAGCAATGCACATGCCAGTATTAGCCAAGCACAAATCCATTAACTTCGAAAAAGCAGATGCGGGTCCATCCAACCTTTTACTTGTTTAGGACCAAAGATAGGCCCAAGGCAGCCAGCTCGAGGCCCATCTGTTTTTGTGGCCCCAATTTCAATCACATGCATGCAACTGTTTAACCCATGTCATCCTTAGTAGATCTAGTTAATTGAAAGGGCTAGTTTGGGAGTGATTCTGGGGAACTACCTCTCATGTGCTTCTTCATATAATCAGTTTAAGTGATTTTAAGTGAACCTCCTATGTGATTCTATATAAAATCACTTAAAACCACTTAAAGTGATTATTTGAAGAAGTGATTCTCCATAGAAATGTTTTTTTGTCTATGAAAAATCACTCCCAAACGAGCCATAATTTACTCCTGCACCCGAGGTCTTGTGTTCGAATCTCACTTCCTCAATATCACATGTATATAAAAATAAAAAAAACAAGCTTATTACTTGTATAGAAATAAAAAATAAACTTAAGATTTACGATTGTATTATTGTATTTATATTCTCATGTAATCCTCTGACATTGCAGTTGGAAAAATCAAGGTGTGATTTGCATGTAGTATATATATATATATATATATTTGGGGAATACAAAACCTTTCGTTTAGGTTAATCATCCCCCCATCTTGACCAAGTACCTTATTGTTGTTTAGTGAAAATGACTCAAATGTTCTTTTAGCTGCTCAGTTTTAAAATATGTTATTCCTGACAATTCTTTTCAACGTTGAATATCTTGTTATTACTTTTACGATTAAGAAAATAAAAAAAATCAACATGTGATAGAATGATTGATCTCGATGCTCTGCAGCTCTCTGCATGTTAAAATCTTATCTATCGGCCAAAACCAAAACACAAAAAGCTTCACTCAAAAGAAAGAATGAAGTGGTGAAATAATCACGACGGTAATTTTAGTATGGGAATTGGGCGAATATATGAAAAGAATATTCTTGGGTTGGATGAAGCAGGATGGGGCAATGATTTGATGGAGATTGATTGGGGAAGAAGATAATACCACTCACAGGAAATGGAATACTTAGAAAAACTGAGCTGGAGGTGGGGATTACGGGGTAGGTAGGGGAGGTCAGAGAAAGAGGCGAGAGAGAGAGAATGTGCAAACATCGCAAGTGAGTTTTAATCTTTTTTAATGTTTACCTAATCTCTTATTACTGTCTCTAATGAAATTAGCCAGCCTGGCTAATGTTGGAGGAGATGCTCCAAATCTTTAATTTTTTTTTTCCATGAAAAAGTTTCATACTTGGTTCACGATTTTGTCTCATTACTTTGTTTGGAATGTGTTCTTGATATCTACTTATTTTGAATCTTGAAATGTGTTCAAAACAGTCACAAAAACTTATTAGGTGTGACGGTTAAAATATGAGTGAGCCACAAATCTATACTAAAAAAATATCGCATTAATAAATTACGTAAGTGTTGTAAAATTGGTGGGTTGGTGAAATAAAGAGTGAAGGGGACAGTAAGTAACAACAAATCTTTGATCTTGGCTTTGGTGTGCCACAAATTCCAATATAAATTAACACTGACATGGCCATGTTACCAAATCGTGAAAACGTTATCGCTATGGTACTCACTGCCAGTTTTTGGACACAAAATTTGTACGAAATTTATGGGGGTATAATCACGCGAAAAAATATATAGATCAATAAATGAGTCTTGTCAATATGTTTAATAAATGGGTTTTGTCAATCAATTTAATAAATAGAAAAGTTGATATAGATTCAAATTTCCGTTGAGAAGTTGGTTTTTATCTTCGGAGTTAGTGACTTTTATACGAGTCCTTTGACTTTTGTGCCACATAGGATTCCATTCCTTTTTAAACATTTTCTGGCGTGATCTTTTTATTTTTATTTTAAATTATTTTTTGTTCCAATGTTGCCCCTTATGTCTTGAATAATTACGAAAAAGAATTGTTTATGACCAGAATTAATTAACAAATTAAGTGCTTATGACCATAATGATTTTGGTATATATATTAATTACGTTGCCTTTTTTTTCTTCTTCTTTTAATTACATCCATGATTTTGTATATTAACATTGTCTTTTTTTGTTCTTCTTTTAACCCAAAAAAATCGTTGGCTTTCTTTCTTATTGTTTACGACCTCTTTGTTAGGTAATTGAAGAAACAAAAAAAAAAAAAAAGGTATATTGAAGATAAAAAAATACCTATATGTCAAGTAGATTATATATTATCTCATACTTCCCCCAATAATCAGGTACAATGCTATATTTACCTAGTGAGTTATGTAAATAATCTCACATTTACCTAGTAATTAGGTACATACAAATGTCATCAATAGTTCTCTTGTTTATCTTGTTTTTCTCAAGTTGTTTATTTCTTGCTATGCTTAAACACCACAAATCGACTTGATAAGATTAATCATATTGTGTTTTCAATATTTGAATGTTTACCTCATGCATAGGTACATAATTTCATGTGGGTGCTTGCATCATCGATTAGTATAATATGCGGTTCTTTACTTTTATTGATTAAATTGTATTTTATCCATATATTAGGTAAATATTCACGAGGAAAGAATTCAAATTTTAAATTCTAAAATTCAATTACAATGGAAATAATGGATTAAATTTGGATTTTCAATGTGTTTCCTTATTTACCTCAAAGAGAAAATTGACACAATAAAAAAAGTAATGAAAGTTAAAGGACTTGCATCTAAAACTAAAACGGTGAGGACTTAGCCAAATGACAACTAATCGTTTTGGTTGTGTACATGCTTATTATTGACTCGAACCAATGCTGCCGTAAGTGTATATTCTTTTCTGGTTGTGTACCCATTCTAAATATGCTGGAAAGCAACCTTCTTTCCAAGAAACCAAAAAAATTGGAATAATATATATTCAAGGGGGTGCTGAGCCACGGCCAGCCACAATGGCTCTGGAAAATTGAAAAAGCTTTCTAAGATGAAACAGAAGTGTTTCCAAAAGGTCAAAGCAGTTGCATATATACATGCATGTGATTGTTACACATGGAATTATAAGGTGGTCCTAATCAAATCCTTACAAGATGGGACGAAAAAGAAAGCAACCCACCAAATTAATCACATCCATGGGCATTTACTGCTCTGTGTTTTATCACATATGGAATAATGAAATATTACCATCACCATCCTTCTCAACACTTAATACGTACGTGTTTTTTTAACATAACCATAATTAACTATTTACTTTGTATTTATGTAACAATTATTATATCAATAGACATATGTCAAATGTTGAAAAAAATAACGAAGGTACACTTTTGGTTAAAGTGGTGAGTAAAAATATACCGGTCTGCTTTTATGAACAACAGTTCGAAAAAAGTACCGGATAGATAAAAGGTGATTCCTAGAATCATTCAGATTTCAGAACACATTGTTTCACGCACCAATTTCTTTGACTTCCTCCCCTGCTTTGTTCATTGATGCTCTCTTCCTGTACTTTAATTTTTTGGATTTGTAGTATGTACTTTCTAGTCTCGTCTAGTCTCATCGTAAAAATCATCACAAGATTTTATCAATCCACGTGTTATACATCGATAATTTGAAACACAACGTTGCAGTTTGACCATCAAATGATTTGATATATATTAGCGGAGATTGTGGTTTTAGTTTGCTTTCCAATAGAAGACCCTACCTCAGTCCTACACAAACTGTTGTTGAGATATAATAGTACAAACTTAATTACTACAGCATTCGTTTTCATGGGGTCAATATATCATTCTTGGCAAGCTTCACATTCAAAGTCGGTGGGGCATATACAAATCTTTAATCCATATTGCACGAGGAGAAGAGAAAAAAAGAAGAAAAAAGCGTCAGAATATAATAACTGCACATGGAGCATGTAAATGCCCTCAATCAAACGACCAAATTGTACTGGAACCCTTAAGTCTACCCATCAGGTATTGGCCATAAAAGTAGTTGGGGTACACTGTTCATCATGGGCATGCATTCATCACAGAAATTGATTATAAGCATGGAAGCAAAAACCTCCTATGCGTTGTTAATCTCTTCATCGAAATTTCATTTTACTGTCCTGAAGTTCCGAACAAAAATTCGGATTCGCCATCTTATATATTTAATAGATTATTATAAATAAACCCAATCCTAGACATGTATTTATAAAAAAAACCCACGTACTATTTAAATATAGAAACACACCCAAAATCAACCCCAAAATCAACAATTGTATATATTTTTGAGTGTGTTTATAAATGGGGTTTAAGTGTGTGTAATGATGGGTTTTGGGTGTGTTTATAAAGTGTTTTGGGTGTTTGGTTTTTTTATAATTTCAGCCCCCATTTTGTAGAAAGTCACAAGTCACCAATGTAAGTCACAAGTCTATATCAAGTTATGTTCCAACCGATATGTCAAAAGTGCCACATAGACATTTAACAGCTAGAAATAACATCTCACACACTCCAACCGATGTGTCAAAGCTGATGTGGAATGAAGGCTGAAGATTGAGATGTTATTTTTGACATCCCAAAAGTAAGATGTCAAATGAATATTTTATTATTTTTTCTTTTCTATTCTTTTTAATTAAAAATAAATCAACACTAAAATGTAATAAAATAATAATTTAATTTGACATATCGGGTGGAGT